AACAAGATGGTGGCTGATGGTAAACAAGGCCCTGTCCCAATACTCATACTTCCACCCATGCGCGTTCCCGATGATGGGTGCGAGTGCGTAGGGTGTCCCAATTCCTGGGTTGCAACCACGTGACCAAAAGGGGGCGTGGCATGGGGCCGTAGGACAGGAAGTATTTTTCTCCCATTAAATAGAATTGGCGATGTGCGAAAACGCACACACAGGAGCTTTTCGCGGCTTAATATCAGTCTTATTTTGAGTGAAAACTATTTTTAATTCAGCGTGCGCCACATTGTTTTTTTCAACAATGAGGAGGATTAGTGTGACAAAACCCAATTGGATATAAAGTGCATTGATGCAATTAAAAGTTAAGTCTATTGTCAGTTGTCCAATTACTTTATGAAAAATACTCAAATGGTATATTCTTTCTTTATTTACAGGGATGGGGTCCTATTCGCAATAGGCCCTTATTGCCAAAGGAGAATTTGTTTGCACAGTATCGAGGAGATTTCATTGATTGCAAAGGAACTGGAAAGGCTGAAGAGAGTCTACCAACCATCCTGTGCAGTATTCACTGTCGAATTTAAGTGGAGAGGAAAAACATGGTGTGAGAATTCACACAACAAACATTTCTCACAAAAGACCTAATTAGCAATTTTTCAGACAGAAATTGTAATTGCAATCTTTTTATACAATGAATTCCAATACCAAACTGCTATCAGGCTCAAGATATTTTTAAAAGATTTATCGATATACCGGTGAAAAAAGAATGGATATATTTATTTTTATTTATTTATTATTTAAGCAGGGACAGTACCTATAAATGTTACTTATTTGCCCACAAAAGAATGCAGGGGGGTGATTCCAGCCAATAGATCCGGTTTAGACCTGTTTTACGCCTATTCAGTCCACCTCACAGCTTTATGATTTATGGTTGACATATGATGATGACTTTTAGGATTTTCTTAATAAGCGCTCATGTTATTGAGTGCGCCGTGGTGTGCTTGCATTGTTCTCGCATCGCGGCTACTCCGCTCCATGTTGAGTCTCACGTGCACGATTGCTCGCATGAGTCAGCCACCGCACAGCTTGTTCCTAAACCAGGGGAGACAAACTCATTTTGGCCCGGGTGCCAAATACAACCTAATTGGACTCACTAGGCCGGACCAGAAGATGTTCAACAAAAATACCCAAAATAATAAATTACTAAGTCCAACTTTTTGTGCACATAAACACATTTAATTAAAAAACCATCCTCTAAAACACTGTCCTTTAATACTCGCACAGTAATTAACAATAAATCTGTACAAAAGTTAATGTCACAGTGAGTTTTTTTTAATACTGCAAATAATGTAAAGGCATTAAACTATATTTATATTAATTTTTGTTTGTTAGCTTTGTATTATAGCTCATTACAAGAAAACTTGCTCACAAAGGTAAAGTAGTAGATAGAAAAAAGCACTAAACACAGCACCCAGCTTAACCAACTTCAGTGTGGTTAGTCCATGATGGCATTGATCCAACACCTCCTTTAACTCTCACTTTGCGGCTGCAATGCTATTGCTATTGTTTAGCACTCAGGTAGCTTGTCATTGCCGCAGCATCACGACCTCTCGCTGTGGGCACAAACGGTAGATCCATGAACAAAACAACCTGGTGTTTTCCTCAGGGCTGGAACCATAATTATCTTCTCAATTCTTCCCCGCACAAAGTGTCTGTAATTCTTGGCTGAGTCAGTCACAGAACGCGATCTGGTGGAGCCACTACAGACGCACTCGACTTGCTGCAGGCTGAGGCGCGGATGTTTAAAATGTTTTCATTAGTTTAATTATATTATTTATCAAAAGTGATCCGCGGCTGTTTCACATCTCTTGCGCTGACGCAAAACGATACCCCTGTTCTAACCAAGTCTAAAACAGTCCTTGCTTTGTCAAACATCACAGCTGACGACCTCCCCTTGCCAAGTGGTTGAGCGAAGCTGTGGGCGCATCACACAGGTGTCCCGGGTGGGGGCAAGTATCGTTTCCTGTATTGGGTCATCAATATCGAGTAAGAGTAACTGATCCAGAATCGGCGCCTATAGCAGTAAGGTCATCCCTAGCTACAATAGGAATTCCAATTCTATTGACATCCATTTGCTAGGGTACAATCCCTAGCAAATATTATTTTAATGCCCATTATAACCAATAGTAATGTATTATTGTCCCACACTCGTAAAGACAGCAAAATATACTTCTCAAGCGAAAAACAAATCTCAGACTTGGGTTTGATAATTGTAGTAATTAAAATTGTCGATTCCAATTGTGATATTGATAAAATTGGTGCAAGCCCAGTATATGTAGGCTGTGCAAAGGGGGGTAAAGTAGTTATAAACACACTGGATACAATTGCTGTCCTCAGTATTATCTGAATTTAATTTATTATTTATTATAAATATATAATATATATATATAATCATATATTAAATTAAGTTTTGAGAAGTAAGCATGGGATTGTAGAACAATATACTGTATTACTATATTTTGATTAAACAGCCTATTTCAATATTTTCAGCTTGATGCTCAGTAGAAGATGGCACATTTGGCTATCGTCATAGATACCACATCCACCCAAATTGTAAGAAAAAGAATTGACTTCGAGGGCAGCCACACTGTGCCTTTTACCATTACGTGACATAAAAGAAGGAGAAGAACTCACATATAATAGGAGGAAGACTGCCCATGGAGAGAAAAGTAAGTTGTAACACCCACGATTAAAAATAATTGCCTTATTGCTAACCTAAAACGAAAAGTGCCCTTCAATACTGCTGTTGACATGAATTTTGGTTTGAAACTTCGTTTTATTGGTCCCCATCAAGAAGGAATGGATAGTGGTGAAATGGCTTCCTCTGGTGGTTCAATTGATTATAAATTGTTTGAAAATGTTTTAGTAATGGCTTTGAGCAAGGGTTTTCTGCTGTAGACATGGCTTTAGGTAGACTTTCAGGGAGACAAGTTTAGACCTTTTCAAAAAAGATCTCACAGTGGACATGTTTGTAAAGTTTTATCTCATCTTATTTAATGGTGATCCAGAACTATATTTCAGTATTTTAAAACATAGGGCTTGTACTGAAAATTGGGAGCAACTGTTTTAGACTTTACGATTATTCAAGTGTTACTTTGTAAAATTCTTACACCTTCAGTCTCCCACAGATGACCCAAGTGCAGCAGATGGTAACTACTACAGCGTTTTCCTAGAGCACCCTGACCAGCCTCAGTCTCGAAATGTTTCTTTCAAATGAACCGTTACAATGTCCCCCTCATAATACACTTCCCATGAGTGACTTCTGTTGGGTTTAATCATGTGTGAAAGTCCATAGAATTGGTCCCCATAAAGAAGGAACAGAGAGGGGTGTGAAAAGGTCCTCATGAGACTTGTCCCCGACCCTAGATGTGTGTGTGTGCAAACAAGTTGGTTTTACATCGGTCAAACTATGATGTGTGTACAGCTGGTAGTACTTGGGCCTCCTTGGGTGGTTCTATTGACTTTAATTTGTGATCACGGTTTAAGATCCTGACTATTTTGTAGTGTTCTATTGTAAAGTCTTAACTTCTGTCTCCCACAGATGACCCACGTGACAGCAGATGGTACTACTAACAGGTTTTCTAGAGCATCTGACAAGCCTCAGTCCCACATGAATACCTCATTTGGAAACGATTCCTCTCAGAAACAGGTAGGATTACATTTATCAATCATGACAAAAAATACCAAAATGTCTTTGTTAGTTCTGAGAAAGTTTTTTTTCACATTAAAGACAATTATTTGAGGTTTTGTTATGTGTACCTCAATAAACTATATCCAGTATGTGGATTAGTGGAAGGAGAATAATTTGAGCCTTTTTTGTCATGGCAGACAAGGACTTTTTACTCAAATGTTTTCTTTCAAATGAACCGTTACGATGTCCCCATAATACACTTTGAGTGACTTCTGTTGGGTTTAATCATGTGTGAAAGTCCATAGAATTGGTCCCCATAAAGAAGGAACAGAGAGGGGTGTGAAAAGGTCCTCATGAGACTTGTCCCCGACCCTAGATGTGTGTGTGTGCAAACAAGTTGGTTTTACATCGGTCAAACTATGATGTGTGTACAGCTGGTAGTACTTGGGCCCCTTGGGTGGTTCTATTGACTTTAATTTGTGATCACGGTTTAAGATCCTGACTATTTTAGTGTTCTATTGTAAAGTCTTATCTTCTGTCTCCCACAGATGACCCACGTGACAGCAGATGGTACTACTACAGGTTTTCTAGAGCAGTGTGACAAGCCCCAGTCCCACATGAATACCTCATTTGGAAACGATTCCTCTCAGAAACAGTAGGATCACATTTATCAATCATGACAAAATACCAAAATGTCTTGTTAGTTCTGAGAAAGTTTTTTTTTCACATTTAAAGACAATTATTTGAGGTTTTGTTATGTGTACCTCAATAAACTATATCCAGTATGTGGATTTAGTGGAAGGAGAATAATTTGAGCCTTTTTTGGTCATGGCAGACAAGGACTTTTTACTCAATTTTCTTTCAAATGTTTTCTTTACAAATGAACCCCCCATAAAAAGTTACGAGACTGTCCCCCCCTATAATACACAAACTTTGAGTGACTTCTGTTGGGGTTCTATGACTTTAATCATGTCCGTGAAAGTCCATAGAATTGGTCCCCATAAAGAAGGATGGTGAGGGAGTGTGTGAAAAGGTCCTCATGAGACTTGTCCCCGACCCTAGATGTGTGTGGTGCCCAACCAACATTTGGTTTAGTTTACATCGGTCAAACTATGATGTGTTACAGCTGGTAGTACTTGGAAAGCCTCCTTGGGTGGTTCAGAGACTTGACTTTAATTTGTGATCACGGTTTAAGAATCCTGACTATTTTAGAGTTCTATTGTAAAGTCTTATCTTCTGTCTCCCACAGATGACCCACGTGACAGCAATGGTACTACTACAGGTTTTCTAGAGCCAGTCTGACAAGCCTCAGTCCCACATGAATACCTCATTTGGAAACGATTCCTCTCAGAAACAGGTACGATCACATTTATCAATCATGACAAAATACCAAAATGTCTTGTTAGTTCCGAGGTTTTTTTTCACATTTAAAGACAATTATTTGAGGTTTTGTTATGTGTACCTCAATAAACTATATCCAGTATGTGGATTAGTGGAAGGAGAATAATTTGAGGCGTTTTTGGTCATGGCAGACAAGGACTTTTTACTCTAATGTTTCTTTCAAATGAACCGTTACAATGTCCCCATAATACACTTTGAGTGACTTCTGTTGGGTTTAATCATGTGTGAAAGTCCATAGAAATTGGTCCCCATAAAGAAGGAATGGTGAGGGGTGTGAAAAGGTCCTCATGAGACTTGTCCCCGACCCTAGATGTGTGTGTGTGCAAACAAGTTGGTTTTACATCGGTCAAACTATGATGTGTGTACAGCTGGTAGTACTTGGGCCTCCTTGGGTGGTTCTATTGACTTTAATTTGTGATCACGGTTTAAGATCCTGACTATTTTAGTGTTCTATTGTAAAGTCTTATCTTCTGTCTCCCACAGATGACCCACGTGACAGCAGATGGTACTACTACAGGTTTTCTAGAGCAGTCTGACAAGCCTCAGTCCCACATGAATACCTCATTTGGAAACGATTCCTCTCAGAAACAGGTAGGATCACATTTATCAATCATGACAAAATACCAAAATGTCTTGTTAGTTCTGAGAGTTTTTTTCACATTTAAAAGACAATTATTTGAGGTTTTGTTATGTGTACCTCAATAAACTATATCCAGTATGTGGATTAGTGGAAGGAGAATAATTTTAGCCTTTTTGCTCATGGCAGACAAGGACTTTTTCACATTTATCAATAAATGACAACGTTTTTTGTCTTCAAATGTTACAAATCTTTCTCAAATGTTTCTTTCAAATGAACCGTTACGATGTCCCATAATACACTTTGAGTGACTTCTGTTGGGTTTAATCATGTGTGAAAGTCCTTAGAATTGGTCCCCATAAAGAAGGAACAGAGATGGGGTGTGAAAAGTCCTCATGAGACTTGTCCCCGACCCTAGATGTTGTGTGTGCAAACAAGTTGGTTTTACATCGGTCAAACTATGATGTGTGTTACAGCTGGTAGTACTTGGGCCTCCTGGGTGGTTCTATTGACTTTAATTTGTGATCACGGTTTAAGATCCTGACTATTTTAGTGTTCTATTGTAAAGTCTTAACTTCTGTCTCCCACAGATGACCCACGTGACAGCAGATGGTACTACTACAGGTTTTCTAGAGCAGTCTGACAAGCCTCAGTCCCACATGAATACCTCATTTGGAAACGAATTCCTCTCAGAAACAGGTAGGATTTTACATTTATCAATCATGACAAAATACCAAATGTCTTGTTAGTTCTGAGAAAGTTTTTTTTCACATTTAAAGACAATTATTTGAGGTTTTGTTATGTGTACCTCAATAAACTATATCCAGTATGTGGATTAGTGGAAGGAGAATAATTTGAGCCTTTTTTGGTCATGGCAGACAAGGACTTTTTACTCAAATGTTTCTTTCAAATGAACCGTTACGATGTCCCCATAATACACTTTGAGTGACTTCTGTTGGGTTTAATCATGTGTGAAAGTCCATAGAATTGGTCCCCATAAAGAAGGAACAGAGAGGGGTGTGAAAAGGTCCTCATGAGACTTGTCCCCGACCCTAGATGTGTGTGTGTGCAAACAAGTTGGTTTTTACATCGGTCAAACTATGATGTGTGTACAGCTGGTAGTACTTGGGCCTCCTTGGGTGGTTCTATTGACTTTAATTTGTGATCACGGTTTAAGATCCTGACTATTTTAGTGTTCTATTGTAAAGTCTTATCTTCTGTCTCCCACAGATGACCCACGTGACAGCAGATGGTACTACTACAGGGTTTTCTAGAGCAGTGTGACAAGCCCCAGTCCCACATGAATACCTCATTTGGAAACGATTCCTCTCAGAAACAGGTAGGATCACATTTATCAATCATGACAAAATACCAAAATGTCTTGTTAGTTTCTGAGAAAGTTTTTTTTCACATTTAAAGACAATTATTTGAGGTTTTGTTATGTGTACCTCAATAAACTATATCCAGTATGTGGATTAGTGGAAGGAGAATAATTTGAGCCTTTTTTGGTCATGGCAGACAAGGACTTTTTACTCAAATGTTTCTTTCAAATGAACCGTTACGATGTCCCCATAATACACTTTGAGTGACTTCTGTTGGGTTTAATCATGTGTGAAAGTCCATAGAATTGGTCCCCATAAAGAAGGAATGGTGAGGGGTGTGAAAAGGTCCTCATGAGACTTGTCCCCGACCCTAGATGTGTGTGTGTGTGCAAACAAGTTGGGTTTTACATCGGTCAAACTATGATGTGTGTACAGCTGGTAGTACTTGGGCCTCCTTGGGTGGTTCTATTGACTTTAATTTGTGATCACGGTTTAAGATCCTGACTATTTTAGAGTTCTATTGTAAAGTCTTATCTTCTGTCTCCCACAGATGACCCACGTGACAGCAGATGGTACTACTACAGGTTTTCTAGAGCAGTCTGACAAGCCTCAGTCCCACATGAATACCTCATTTGGAAACGATTCCTCTCAGAAACAGGTACGATCACATTTATCAATCATGACAAAATACCAAAATGTCTTGTTAGTTCCGAGGTTTTTTTTTCACATTTAAAGACAATTATTTGAGGTTTTGTTATGTGTACCTCAATAAACTATATCCAGTATGTGGATTAGTGGAAGGAGAATAATTTGAGGCGTTTTGGTCATGGCAGACAAGGACTTTTTACTCTAATGTTTCTTTCAAATGAACCGTTACAATGTCCCCATAATACACTTTGAGTGACTTCTGTTGGGTTTAATCATGTGTGAAAGTCCATAGAATTGGTCCCCATAAAGAAGGAATGGTGAGGGGTGTGAAAAGGTCCTCATGAGACTTGTCCCCGACCCTAGATGTGTGTGTGTGCAAACAAGTTGGTTTTACATCGGTCAAACTATGATGTGTGTACAGCTGGTAGTACTTGGGCCTCCTTGGGTGGTTCTATTGACTTTAATTTGTGATCACGGTTTAAGATCCTGACTATTTTAGTGTTCTATTGTAAAGTCTTATCTTCTGTCTCCCACAGATGACCCACGTGACAGCAGATGGTACTACTACAGGTTTTCTAGAGCAGTCTGACAAGCCTCAGTCCCACATGAATACCTCATTTGGAAACGATTCCTCTCAGAAACAGGTAGGATCACATTTATCAATCATGACAAAATACCAAAATGTCTTGTTAGTTCTGAGAGTTTTTTTCACATTTAAAGACAATTATTTGAGGTTTTGTTATGTGTACCTCAATAAACTATATCCAGTATGTGGATTAGTGGAAGGAGAATAATTTTAGCCTTTTTTGCTCATGGCAGACAAGGACTTTTTCACATTTATCAATAATGACAACGTTTTTTGTCTTCAAATGTTACAAATCTTTCTCAAATGTTTCTTTCAAATGAACCGTTACGATGTCCCATAATACACTTTGAGTGACTTCTGTTGGGTTTAATCATGTGTGAAAGTCCTTAGAATTGGTCCCCATAAAGAAGGAACAGAGATGGGTGTGAAAAGGTCATCATGAGACTTGTCCCTGACCCTAGATGTGTGTGTGTGCAAACAAGCTGTTTGTCAATAAATATTAAAAATCTTTCTTTTAACTGACAATTATATGAGTCATTAAAGTACTACTTCAGTAAGTGGGATAGTGGAAGGAGAATATTGTCTTTCTTTGGTCAGTGACTGCAGTTGAGTTGAATCGTGTGAAAGTCTATTGAATTTGTCCCCATAAAGAAGGAATGGTGAGGGGTGTGAAAAGGTCCTCATGAGACTTGTCCCTGACCCTAGATGTGTGTTAGTTTGCAGGTTTTTTTTGTGTTGTCTGTTTATAATAGTTTTTTTATCTACAGATTCTTACACAGCCCACATGGGAAGTTGATTCTGTACCAAAACTGAGGAGGACAAAAAGTATCATAGTAAGTGACATTTACCTATGAACATTGACCTATGAACACATCCAATGAAGTTGGATATGTGCCAATTCGTTTATTTTGTAATTATTTCTATTTCTCTGCATTGCATTCAGATTGTTTTTGTTTACTTTTTTAGTATTTTTAGTTATTCACATGTTTTTCTTTTCTTGTTTTATTCAGATGAAAGACACAAATCATTTCGACTCTGATGAGTTATATGATTCTACAACAGACAGTTCAGACAACTATGTCCCAGATACCACATCTGGTTCAGAAAGCGACAGTGATCTTCCTTTATCACGAAACAAATTGAGAAGCAAATTTTATGATGAACTCAATCTTGATTATCCTGACCCTGCAAACAATCTTGAATGTGACTCCACAACTTTGGACAATATGCCAAGTCTTTCAGCTGAAACATCTGCTGGCGTTGAACCCAATTCAAGTCAGGCCACTACAGATATTGTTGTTAAGGCATACAACAAAAAGGGTGTACGAAGAATATATGACAAAAGACATTATTGCTTTTACTGCTCCAAGCCTTATGCAAAAATGGCAAGGCATCTAGAAAAATCACATGTGGATAAATCTGACGTGGCTCGTGCTGTAAGCTTTCCAAAGGGATCCAAAGAGAGAAAATACCAACTTGATTATATTCGCAATAGAGGAAACTATGCTCACAATGCTGCTGTCATGGAATCTGGATCAGGAGAACTAGTCCCATTCAAACGGCCGCAGAAAAACTTGCAAGGTGAAGATTTCATGCATTGTGCATACTGTCAAGGACTCTTTACAAGAAAGGTACTGTGGAGACACATCCGTAATTGTAGGCTTAAACCACAGTCCGTTCGTCCTAAACCAGGAAAAAACCGTGTCCAGGCCATGTGTACCTACACTGGGCCTGTGCCTTTAAACATGACCAAACAACTGTGGGAAGTTATCAGTGTCATGAATCCTGGTCCAATTACGGACATAATAAAAAATGACGGTGTAATTACTGAAATTGGACAGCACTTGTTGAATAAAGGTGGACTTTCAGACAAGAACAAACAGTGCGTGCGAGAGAAGATGCGAGAATTGGGAAGGTTGGTTCACAATGCCAGAAAAGTCACATCTTTGAATACACTTGAAGACTGTGTAAATCCAAAGAAGTACATTGAGATTGTGAAAGCTGTCAAGTATACATGTGGCTATGACAGTGAAAATGACAAGTTCGCAATCCCATCCCTTGCTAATAAGCTTGGAAATTCCTTAGTTAAAGTGAGTAGACTCTTAAAAGCACAAGGTTTAATCTTGAATGACCAGCAGCGTGTGAAGAATGCAAGTGAATTTCTAGAAGTACATCAGAACAAGTGGAACGAGCTTGTTTCGGCTACTGCATTAAGGAACATCAGAGAAAGCCCATTGGAATGTCCCAGCACTAATGCCTTTCACTAATGATGTTCAAAAATTGCATGTATTCTTGGGTCAACAGCAAGATGAGTGGTTCAACACGTTATCGGAACGTCCTTCTACAAAAGCATGGATTGAGTTAGCCAAGGTGTGTCTTGCCCAGATGATTCTCTTCAACCGGCGCAGAGAAGGCGAAGTATCATCTATGCCTTTGACTGCATTTTTGTCCAGAGACACTTCAGATCCACATAATGATGTTGACTGGGCTCTTTCAGAAGTGGAGAAAAAACTTTGCAGACACTTCACCAGGATCATTACCAGGGGCAAGCGTGGCCGGCCTGTTCCAATTCTTTTGACTCCAAAAATTCTCAATGCTTTAGATCTCCTTGTTAACCGAAGAGAGGACTGCAGTGTTTTAAAAGACAATATATACCTGTTTGCTAGACCAGACGCAATGTCCCACTTGAGAGGGTCAGACTGCCTTCGTGCATTTTCGAGACTGTGTGGTGCTAAGTGTCCAGAAGCTCTAACATCGACAAAGCTGAGAAAGCATGCTGCGACCCTCTCTACTGTACTGAATATGACGGACACAGAGATGGACCAACTCGCAAATTTTCTTGGACATGATATAAGGATCCATCGTGAGTTTTATAGACTCCCTGAAAAGACCTTGCAGCTGGCGAAAATAAGCAAAGTGCTAATGGCTCTTGAACAAGGAAGAATGTCACAATTCCAAGGGAAAAACCTGGATGAGATTAGAATTGAACCTGATGGTATGTTGTTTTATTGTCTAACTGTATAGCATGTTTACAAGCAATTGTGTTGATGTACTTTGAACTTCCACAGAAAAAGTTGACTGTGAGGAGGAAAATGAGACGGAAGAGGGGACACAGTTTATTAACTGCTCATGGTATGTTTTACTATTACATTTTTTATTTATATATTAATACAATAAAAATGTGGGTTTCATAAGAAAAGTTGTAATCTACTATGAAAATGTGCTTTAAACTTTGCACAGAAAACATTGACTCTGAGCAAGAAGATGGGGATAAAGATGGACGTCGTTTTCCGGCTATTGATGGTTTGTATCACTGCTAAACAACTTTTTAATATTTATATTTCAATATATATGACTGTAAAAGTGTGGGCTTATATGGAAATGTTTGTGACACATAATTTATGTATTGATTAGTTTTTAATGGTACTCTTGAACCTTCAAAATATTTGAACTAATGATTTTCATTATTTTTCACAGAACCAGCTGGAATGGTTGCACTTGCTTCTGCCGGACACACTCCACCACCACCTAAGAAACGAAAACCGTCAGAAAAGATGTCTTCAGTTGGCAGTACTTTGTCTTCTGGCAAAGGTGAACTCTTTGCTCTTCTTTTTATGTCTGCTACTGATCATACCATCAAACAGAAAAAGCAACACTATGAAATAGTTTGTGTAAAAATTGTGTGTGCGTGTGGATGGGATCCTACCTGTGTATGTACCAATACAGATAGGATGATTTATAAACACTGAATGTACTCTAAAGCATGTCTTTTTTTGTGACCACTCAAAGGCAAAAACCAGAAGAAATGTCCTTGGCAGCCAACTGAGGTACAGGCAGTTGAAAAGCACCTGAAGCGCTTCATCACATCACGTATTGTACCTACAAAGAGCGACTGCGAAAAATGTTTGAAAGCAGAACCAGAAGCACTAATCAACCGTGACTGGAAAAGCATTAAATTTTATGTTTATAACCGTAGTGTAGCACTCCGTAAGAAACAGTAGCTCTGCTAAGACAGAGAGCATAAATGGGAAGTTGGGTGGCGGGGCTAAGGGACAGAATTGTTGTTGAATCAGAAAGATTAATCTTGAATAAGTAGAGTAAGTTGTTAAATTTGTCCGTACGATGTTTACAGAATTTGTTATCCTCTTCAGGGTGAAATTGTTTGTGTGAGATGTTTAATACAGCCCTTTATAATGGCATTTGATATTCCAAAATAGTTTAATAATCAAGTGCTTCCAAATTGTCAAAGAAAAGGAAAATACTTGATTTGTTTTTGTTCCTTTTGAATAAGTGAAGCAAAATGTGTTTCAGTCAAGAAATAAGCTGTTCACAAGCCTTACAACAAAATATATATAAAATTTGTTAATAAAGGCACGTTTACAAAGACAGTCTGTGGATTATTTGGCCTTAATAATGTAGTCATTTGTTTTAAGAAAGGTCCCCATGAGTAAAATAAAAAAATGTGTGAGTTATGCAAATGTTATGCAAATCTGGTCCTTCTAAGTGACATTGACTCGTTTTGTTATAGGTCCCCACAATACACTGTCAGAATATTGTTTCAACAATTGAGACATTTTAAGATGTGTATAAGCTTACAATGTGATGTTAAGTATCTCAATTTTTTTGTGTGACTCTAGACCCTCTGGAAAGGGTGGTCCCCGCAAGTGATAATTTGAAACCTGGTCCCCATCAAGAATGGAAACCAGTATGTGTGTGTGTGTGTGTGTGTGTGTGTGTGGGTGTGTATTGTATATATAATTATAAATGTGGTTTTGGGGGGTCTGTGGGGAGGAGGGTTTAGGGCTGGGCATGTTTGATTGTTTTTAACTAAACTGTAAAGCACTTTGTGTTACACTTTTTGTATGAAAAGCGCTTTATAAATAAAATTTGATTGATTTGATTGATTGATTGATGCAGCTGCTGCTGGTGATGATGCAGCTGCTGCTGGTGATGATGCAGCTGCTGCTGGTGACAGTGGAGGTGTTGAGATCCTTCGAGGTGATGAAGGTGTTGAGATCCTTCGAGGTGGTGGAGGTGTTGAGATCCTTCGAGGTGGTGGAGGTGTTGAGATCCTTCGAGGTGGTGGAGGTGTTGAGATCCTTCGAGGTGGTGGTGGTGTTGAGATCCTTCGAGGTGGTGGAGGTGCAAAGACTTTTGGAGTCGGCTTCCTCCCTTTCGATGGCTGCACGCGCTGCGCAGGCTGAGGTCTCAGGGCAAAAGAAAGGTTATACATCAACACTTTTACTCCGTAAGTGTTCAGATGTGGCCCTTTCCCTTCAAAAAGCTCATGCCTATTCCAGAACAGATTAAAATTCTCAATGAAGGCAAGTCCTCTGCGTGAACATTCGTTGAGTAGGAAAGTATTTAGCTGATACAGACGACTGAATTTCATTTGCTTCCCGTCCACATTTGGTAGTGGGCCACTGATAACGATTGTTGTGTCCATTTTAGCAAGGTCGTCCAATAAGAGAGAGTAATCCCGTTTCAACTTTTCACTTGTGTTGTCATAGACGTCTACTGCCCCCACGTGGATCAACAATCTTTTTACCCCGTCGGTCTCAGACAGAAGCCTCGGAGCCAACCGCCTTATCTCATCCACTTTGGCAGAGTGTACTGAGTGAACCTTGAGATTACGCATATTTACATGTTTTATCGCAGTATCCCCGATAAAGAGCGACTCAGCTGCATTTGACCTTGACTGAGACTGAGACTGGGACTGAGAGACTGCTGCTGATTCATCTTCCAAAAGTGGTGAAAAGCGGTTTCTTGTAATTAAAGATTTTTGCTGTGGCATTATGACACTCTTGTTATCATTAGCTTTGCCTTGTTTGGGCTTGGCACCATATGTGTTCCAACAATTGTCTCTGTTGATTTTGGGAAATGAAATAGCGTCATCATAACTTACGTTCTGTCCATTTGGTCCATTTCCTTTCACTGGTATTGTTGTGTTCAGCCCCAATTCTGATTCAAGCACAAACATTCGCTCTTGAAGAAGTTTTAGCTCCTGTTTGAGTGAAAAACAGCCGTCGCAAAGTTTTGTTCTATTTTTCCGTCCTCCCGACATGCTGTAAGTTAGGTAAATTCCACAAGTCTTGTGTTGAAGTTTGTAAAAAGGAGTAATCCGTGTTTTGTGGAATAAAAATGTAAATAAAAATGATTAAAGGAGATAAAAAAGCAGCAAGCGAGGAGCAGCAAGAGAATGCGAGTGCTCTGTCCAGAGCAGGAAGTGGACTGCTCTGGACACATGTGGACACAGCAACATGTGGACACAGCACCATGTGGGACACAGCTGCCATTTGGGACACAGCTACCATATGGACATAGCTATCATGTGGACACAGCTACCATTTGGACACAGCTACCTTTTGGGACGTAGCACCATGTGGGACCTAGCTACCATGTGGGACGCAGCACCATGTGGGATGCAGCACGATGTAGGACACAGCACCATGTGGACACAGCTACCATGTGGACACAGCACCATATGGACACAGCTACCATGTGGACTCGGCTACCATGCAGGACACAGCTATCATGTGGACACAGCTACCATGTGGACACAGCACCATATGGGACACAGCTACTATGTGGACACAGTACCTTGTGGGACACAGCTACCATGTGGACACAGCACCATGTGGGACACAGCTACCATGTTGGACACAGCTACCATGTGGACACAGAAGTATGTGGGACACAGCTACCATGTGGACAAAGCAACCATGTGGACACAGCTACCATATGGACACAGCACCATATGGGACACAGTTACCATATGGACACAGCTACCATGTGGACACAGCACCATATGGGACACAGCAACCATGTGGAAAAAAGCACCAAGTGGGACACAGCACCATGTGGGACACAGCTACCATGTGGACACAGTACCTTGTGGGACACAGCACCATGTGGGACACAGCACCATGTGGGACACAGCTACCATGTTGGACACAGCTATCATGTGGACACAAAAGTATGTGGGACACAGCTACCATGTGGACAAAGTAACCATGTGGACACAGCTACCATATGGACACAGCACCATATGGGACACAGCTACCATATGGACACAGCTAACATGTGGACTTATCACAATGTGGGACACAGCTACCATGTGGACACAGCATCATGTGGTACGCAGCACCATTAGGACACAGCTACCATATGGACACAGCTAACATGTGAACTTATCACAATGTGGGACACAGCTACCATGTGGACACAGCATCATGTGGTACGCAGCACCATTAGGACACAGCTAATGGTGGACAGCACGGTGGCTGAGTGGATAGCACTCTCGCCTCTCAGGAAGAAGGTCCTGGGTTCAAATCCCGGTTTGCATGTTCTCCCTGTGTCTGCGTAGGTTTCCTCCGGTGCTCCGGTTTCCCCTACCACTAAAAATATGTACAATAGGTCTGGCATGTGCCTCCTGTACTGGCCCCACTCCCAAAAATCACAATTATAAACCGCTTTGAGACTCCGATGTGCAGTGAAAAGGCGGTATATAAATAAAGATTACTTACTACTTACAATACAATACAATTTACAATACAATTTATTCTTGTATAGCCCTAGGTCACAACAGAAGTCATCTCAGAGACTTAACAAAACCATTGAAATCACCAACACAGGTCAGAGAATCAACAGTTAAAACACATGAAGAATATAAAGCACACACAGAAGAAAATGTCCATACATGTTGTAGAATGCTAAAGTGTCCTGATCATCACCAATCCTTTCTGTTGGACACTAACTGTCCAACAAGACCCTCCTGCATCGACAAGGAACAACTCTTAAAAAACCCAGTGGGAAAAAGTGAGAAACCTTGGGGAGAACTAGGGAAACCCACAGGGAGGGAGACCCATATGAGAAAGGGATCCGCTCCTCCGGACGGACAGGCTAATGATCTAGGACCTAAGCTAGCTACAGAACGTGGACCAGTGGCCGCTGAACGTGGACAGGTCCGGTGCAGGACTGAAGCACTCCCAGGCGGGTCGGGCGGGGCAGTCCGCAGGTGTAGATGGAGGAGGCCAGGCTCAGAGATCCCGTCATCGTACCATGAAACAGACAATGGGACAACGGGTGAATAGCAATGAACAAACTACAGTCAAAATCCTAAAAATGCTAAACAGATAAAGTAGGAAGGAGGAGAGGATAGTGCTCAAGTTACCATACTTCTCCAGCAGGGGGCGCCCTATGCAGCTTGACTGACACTCTGAGGAGTTTAGCCTTCTCCGAGTCTTACCTTCCTAGCCATATGCTAAACTAAAGAGAACTGTTTTAAACCTAGCCTTGAATAAAGAGATTCATGGATTACACACCAGGTGTCCAAACCGATCCAAGCAAACCTAATTATATATTATATATTATATACATCATATATACCATACATACCATATATATCATATATAATACACAACATAACATACAGCATAATATATAACATAATATACAACATAACACAATACATTATTGTATAATATATAACATAATATGTAACATAATACAGCATATATATATAATATATACACCATATATTATATATTACCTAATTATATGCTAAATTAAAGTAAAGTGCTTTAAGCCTGGCCTTGAATGTGGAGACCGTGTGTGTACTTACTACTACTACAGCTACCATGTGGACACAGCACCCTCTGGACACAGCTACCATCTGGACACAGCACCATATGGGACACAGCTACCATGTGGACACAGCTACCATGTGGACACAGCCATCATGTGGAAAAAGCACCAAGTGGGACACAGCTACCATGGTGGACACAGCTACCATGTGGACACAGATACTTGTCCCCCAGCTTGCCGTTGCTGGGGCTGTTGCAGAGGCAAAAACTCAGGACTGGGAGGAGTCCATGGAGCATGACTATCGGTCGGCTTCGAAGAAATTCTGGCTCACGATTTACCGGTCAATCTTCGTTCCCTCCCTCACCTATGGTCATGAGCTTTAGGTAATGACCGAAAGGACAAGATCGCAGATAAAAGCGGTCGAAATGAGTTTCCTCCGCAGAGTGGCTGGGCACTCCCTCAGAGACAGGGTGAGGAGCTCGGAGTAGAGTCGCTGCTCCTTCTCGTCGAGAGGAACCAATTGAGGTAGCTCGGGAATCTGTTCCGGATGCCTCCTGGACGCCTCCCTGGGGAGGTGTTCCGGGCACGTCCCACCGGGAGGAGGCCCCGGGGAAGACCTAGGACACGCTGGAGGGACTATGTCTCTCAGCTGGCCTGGGAACGCCTTGGGGTCCCCCCGGACGAGCTGGAGGAAGTGTGTGACATGAATATGTATTGTGTATTATTTTGGACAAAAGGTGAAACTGGTGTGTGGTGTGGGAATTATAATTAAAAATGGGTGTGGAGTCAGAGTTAGATGCCACAGGGTTAGGGAAATGGTTAGATGCCACACAAATGTGGGATAATGAGGCTGGAAACGGACTTCGTTTCTTTGTTAAATATTATGTTGGATTAACGGAGTCACCTCTTGATCTTTTTAGAAAACACTGGTTTGTGCCGATGGCCAACTGGTTGCCTTGCTTCTGTTAGTGTGCCCCAGGGCAGCTGTGGCTGCAGTAGGGAGGGAGGCTGGTCCTCTCTGTAGTTTGGTAAATCTTTTTTCTGCAGGTCCAAACTCAGGCTGTGGCTCCGTCAGAACCATCACCTTGTTCTTATGTTTGATCAGAATTCTCACATTCGTTCTTCCTTCACACATTAATCCAATTTCACACAAATTATTCTATTTCATATTTGTCCCAAACAGAGAGAGACATGTGACTGAGCATGAGCGTCTCCTCGGCAACCGCAGCATCAACAATGAGACGGCGGCGAAGGTTTATGGCCGGATCCACATGGGATTAAATGGGATTAAGTCAGTGTGGACGTGTTGGTGAAGCATGTGATGGACAAGAGCGACCACAACACTACACTACACAACTCAACACAACCACATACTACACAACCACTACACAACACAGCACAACACGTCGCAACAGTGTGGACATGTTGAGGGCCCTCTGGACTCTCTGGGGCCTCACAGGGACCCTCACAGGGACCCTCTGGACTCTCTTGGGCCTCACAGGGACCCTCACAGGGACCCACTGGGGCCTGACAGGGACCCTCTGGACTCTCTGGGGCCTCACGGGACCCTCACACAGACCCTCTTGGGCCTCACGGGACCCTCACACAGACCCTCTGGGGCCTCACAGGGACCCTCTGGACTCTCTGGGGCCTCACAGGGACCCTCACAGGGACCCTCACACAGACCCTCTGGGGCCTCACAGGGACGCTCTGAGGCCTCACTTTGAGCTGATTGGAGTGTAGCTCTAATCACAGAGTCCATGTGAACAGCTCTGATGGATTTAGGAGAGTTCAGTCCGTGCTTCTGCTCAATAACTTCATTTCCGTAATTTATGTTTCACGGGTGGAAGCAGTAAAGCATAAAGGCTGCGTCCAAATGATTTACTGCAGAGACAAGATTTTTTATCTTCCCGGTTCAGGGACAACCAGCCAAACCAACATGGACCATAAGAAATATACTACTATCACTTTCTGCAGAGTCCCAGAATCCTGAGACTTCTACTGAGGCACAGGGGGCGCTATATAAAAAAAATTGATGCATTATTATCGATAGGGCAAGGAGTCATTAGCAGTCGTTTTGACTGTTTTAAAGGCAATTTAATGACACACTTTTCTACAGAACCATGTAACACTTTACTTTCACTTCTCACTTGTTAATGAACATATCACGGTCAGACAAAAGTTTACTCTTGACAAGGTGACGTTTCTACCCTTTTCTACCCTTTTCTGCAAACTGCATTTGCAGTTTTTGTGATCCACATTGTTTTGCAAGATGTTGTTGTACATCTTTGCCATGTTTTTGTGGAGTTCAGCGGATTTTTTACTGCCAAAGCTCTTTGCTAGCAATGAATAGAGGATGTGTTTTTAAAAGTAAACACACAGTTAGCATCTGAGCTAAAGGCTTTTTGAGCAGTATTTAACCCTTTAAGCGCCAGAGGTTTTTTTCCAAAACGCTCGATTTTGACATCTTAATTTCAAAAGGCTATAACTTAAAAGTGATAAGAGATAAAGGCTTTCTGTAAATTAGAAAAATATAAAGGATGGTCCAAAGTTTATGTAGAGAATAAATCCCCCCATCTAATTTGCATATTATGACGTCATTTGGCGTTAGAAATAGTGGATTTTAGAATTTTCATACAATATTTGTATTTTTCTAACTGACAGACATATATTTATCACTAGAACATGAACACACACAGAGCACACACTGTAACATTGTAAATGTTCATGAAAATAGTAAAAAATACAAATCATGATGCTGCTGTGAGCAGTCTGCCCAGACGCGCGCCTCCAGGAGAAGCGCGTCACCGTGGCTCTCCTGCTGCAGATGTCTCCCCCACTCTCTCTCTCATCTCCCCCACTCTCTCTCTCATCTCCCCTGCTCTCTCTCGTCTAACACACACAAGACAAAGCTTCTCCAACACATTACTGTCCCGGTGATTACGTGAGGCATGAAAATACATATGTGGGAAGCACTTTTAGCGGAGACTTTGGCGGAAACTTGAGCGGAGGCGGGAGGTCGCGGCGCGGCGCGGCGCCCCGAGTTCCAGGGTTGTTCTCCACAAATCTAACCTGTCTCCAAACCTCCCGATGACTTTGCCTTACTCTAAGAAACACTGTTCCCACTGCAGACCCTGTGCAAAGTGTCTAAAGTTAGTGTTTGGTGCGGTACAACACTCACAGGCTGCCCCGCAGCTTCATTCGCTTCGCTATGATTTCTGCACTGGTTCAACGCGGTCTTGCTCGAATATTTTGTATAGGAGCATGACGTTTTTTGGGGCCAGGGAGGTAGTCTGACATGTCTGCCAACTAGTGGCAGGGAGTATGAAATTTTGACACTCAGTTGGACACACTCGGCCGTTTTTAACAGTACCGCAGCTTGTCGACTTAAGTCGACCGTGGCGCCTAGAGGGTTAAGACCAACAAATCCAGAGATATCATCTTCTGAAGCACTGACAGGTCACCGAGGGCCCCACGCATCTGCAGCACAGTGGAGGCGTCACAAGAGGCGCTACAGGAGTCCCGGCCTCCGTTGTGGGCAACTTCTACAGAGGGACTGTAGAGAGCATCCTGAGCAGCTCCATCACTGCCTCCTGCCGAAGGAGAGCAGCAGAGAAGATCTGTGGAGCCCCTCTCCCCACCATTAAGGACATGTACTCCACCCGTCTCACCCGCAAAGCCGTCAGAATCACCAGGGACCCTACGCACCCATCACACAGGCTCTTCAGGGGCCTTCAGGGGCCTTCAGGGAGGAGACTGCAGAATTTACAGAACAGTTCCAGTCGACTTAAAAACAGTTTCATTCACAAAGCCATCAGGAAGCTGAACTCCCTGCCCTCCCTCCCACCCCTCTTCCCCCCCACCCCCCGCTCCACAATCAAGGATGAGAGAAATATAATTTCAAACCATTCACTTGGTTTGACAAATAAAAATCTTGAATCTTGAATCTTACTTTTTTACTGTATGTCTGTCGATATGATACTATATATAGATATACAGTACAGACCAAAAGTTTGGACACACCCCATGTCAAGAGTTTTTTATCTTCATGACTATCAAAATTGTAGATTCACACTGAAGGCCTTAAAGCTATGAATGAACTCATGTAGAATTATGTACGTACCTAAAAAAAAAAAAGTATGAAACAACTGAAAATATGTGTTATAGTCTGGGTTCTTTAAAGTAGCACCTTTTGCTCTGATTACTGCCTCACTCTTGAGCCCCTTGAGATGAATCATCTCGTTTACGAGGGGGTCCTCAAGATTTTCACTAGGTGACAGATACAGCAAAACAGATACAAATAAAACAAAAATACAAAAATACAAGAAAATAAATTTAAAAGAAAATAAAATAAAAATAAAAAGCAACCATAAAAAATACACACAAACCCTCAAGCACTCACACTCATACACACACGCACGCGTGACTGTGCTGTAGTTACACTAAATAAGGATAATATTATTAATATTAATAGTATATTAGTAATAATAATAATAATGAGACAGTAAAGACAAGTGTCAACTGTTGGCATTCTCTTGAATGCCAAGAGTGAAGCAGAGGGCCTGAAATGATCTTCAACAGTCTTGAAAGAGTTCCCATGATGCTTAGCACTTGTTGGCCCCTTCAGTCTGTGGTCCAGCTCACCCCAAAACCATCTGGACTGGGTTCAGGTCCAGTGACTGTGGAGGCCAGGTCATCTGGTCAAACAGCCCTCACACAGCCTGGTGTGGATCTACAGGCAATAGTCATGAAAAGAAAGGACACTCATTATTGAATGAGAAAGTGTGTCCAAACTTTTGGTTTGTACTGTCTATATACAGTGCCTTGCGAAAGTATCCGGCCCCCTTGAACCTTTCAACATTTCGCCACATTTCAGGCTTCAAACATAAAGATTTAAAATTGTAATTTTTTGTCATGAATCAACAACAAGTGGGACACAATCATGAAGTGGAACGAAATGTATTGGATAATTTAAATTTTTTTAACAAATAAAAAACTGAAAAGTGGGGCGTGCAATATTATTGGGCCCCTTTACTTTCAGTGCAGCAAACTCAGTCCAGAAGTTCAGTGAGGATCTTTGAATGATCCAATGTTGTCCTAAATGACTGATGATGATAAATAGAATGCTCCTGTGTGTAATCAAGTCTCCGTATAAATGCACCTGCTCTTTGATAGTCTCAGGGTTCTGTTTAAAGCGCAGAGAGAACCATGAAGACAAAGGAACACACCAGGCAGGTCCGAGATACTGTTGTGGAGAAGTTTAAAGCCGGATTTGGATACAAAAAGATTTCCCAAGCTTTAAACATCTCAAGGAGCACTGTGCAAGCAATTATATTGAAATGGAAGGAGTATCAGACCACTGCAAATCTACCAAGACCCGACCGTCCCTCCAAACTTTCATCTCAAACAAGGAGAAGACTGATCAGAGATGCAGCCAAGAGGCCCATGATCACTCTGGATGAACTGCAGATAACTACAGCTGAGGTGGGAGAGTCTGTCCATAGGACAACAATCAGTCGTGCACTGCACAAATCTGGCCTTTATGGAAGAGTGGCAAGAAGAAAGCCATTTCTCAAAGATATCCATAAAAAGTCTCGTTTAAAGTTTGCCACAAGCCACCTGGGAGACACACCAAACATGTGGAAGAAGGTGCTCTGGTCAGATGAAACCAAAATCAAACTTTTTGGCCACAATGCAAAACGATATGTTTGGCGTCAAAGCAACACAGCTCATCACCCTGAACACACCATCCCCACTGTCAAACATGGTGGTGGCAGCATCATGCTTTGGGCCTGCTTTTCTTCAGCAGGGACAGGGAAGATGGCTAAAATTGATGGGAAGATGGATGGAGCCAAATACAGGACCATTCTGGAAGAAAACCTGTTGGAGTCTGCAAAAGACCTGAGACTGGGACGGAGATTTATCTTCCAACAGGACAATGATCCAAAACATAAAGCCAAATCTACAATGGAATGGTTCACAAATAGACATATCCAGGTGTTAGAATGGCCAAGTCAAAGTCCAGACCTGAATCCAATCCAGAATCTGTGGAAAGAGCTGAAGACTGCTGTTCACAAACGCTCTCCATCCAACCTCACTGAGCTCCAGCTGTTTTGCAAGGAAGAATGGGCAAGAATTCCAGTCTCTCGATGTGCAAAACTGATAGAGACATACCCCAAGCGACTTGCAGCTGTAATTGCAGCAAAAGGTGGCGCTACAAAGTATTAGCGCAAGGGGCCGAATAATATTGCACGCCCCACTTTTCAGTTTTTACTTCACAATTGTGTCCCACTTGTTGTTGATTCTTGACAAAAAATCTAATGTTTATATCTTTATGTAAGTAAGTTAGTAAGTAAGTATTTATTTATATACCGCCTTTTCACTGCAGATCTGAGTCTCAAAGCGGTTTACAATTGTTAATTTTGGGCATTTGTCTCTCACTCCACACAGAGATGGGAGCGGGGTCAGTACAGGAGGCGCATGCCAGAACTATTGGACATATTTTTAGTGGTAGGGGAAACCGGAGTACCCGGAGGAAACCTATGCAGACAAGGGGAGAACATGCAAACTCCACTCAGAAAGGCCCTGGTCCGACCGGGATTCGAACCCAGGACCTTCTTGCTGAGAGGCGAGAGTGCTAACCACTCAGCCACCGTGCCGCCCAGTTTGTCCATGTTTGAAGCCTGAAATGTTGAAAGGTTCAAGGGGGGCGAATACTTTCGCAAGGCACTGTATATATAAGA